TATTGTACCATGATTCATTCATTCTCAAACAAAAATACGCAGAAGAGGATCATGTTATAACGTTCACTGTTCCACTTTTTGAACCATTACCACCAAATTATTTTATTTCCATTATAGCGGATCGTTGGTTGCATTGTGAGACCAAATTACCAATATCATTTAGACATTTAATACTTCCAAAGAAGTATCCTCCACATACAGAGTTACTTGATTTGCAACCTTTACCTGTATCAGCTTTACGCAATCCCGAATATGAAGCTGTATATAATGAATGGGTTGATAAATTTAATCCTATTCAAACTCAAGTATTCAATGCTTTATATAACATGGATGATAATGTTTTCGTTGGAGCTCCTACAGGGAGTGGAAAAACAGTTTGTGCTGAATTTGCTCTTCTACGGTTATGGACTAAACAAAGTCTTGCACGTTGCGTGTATATCGCGCCGTTCCAGGAAGTTGTTGATCTTCAAGTTGCACAGTGGAGACAAAAATTTGGCAAAGTACAAGGTGGAAAGAATATAGTGGCACTTACCGGTGAGACAAGTGCGGACCTTCGCTTACTTGAAAATGGGGATGTAATATTCGCCACACCAATGCAATGGGATGTAATGTCCCGTCGATGGAAACAACGAAAAAATGTTCAAACTGTATCATTATTTATAGCGGATGAATTACATTTGATTGGCAGTGATGTTGGACCTACATACGAAATCATTGTCTCGCGAATGCGTTACATCGCTCATCAAACAAAGAATCCAATTCGCATTGTATGTTTAAGCACCTCGTTGGCCAATGCTCAAGATCTCGGAGAATGGATTGGTGCAACTCCTCATACCATTTTTAATTTTCATCCTAGCGTTCGTCCTGTACCGTTAGAAATTCATATTCAGAGTTACAGCATTCCTCATTTTGCTTCACTCATGATGGCCATGGCTAAACCAACTTATGTTGCTATCACAAATTATTCTTCCGATAGACCAGCTATTATATTTGTACCATCTCGTAAGCAATGTCGACTTACTGCTGTCGACTTACTCACTTTTTGTGCAGCTGACGGAACACCAGATCGCTTCTTACATGCACATGCTAATGATATTGAAAATCATTTGAATAATGTAAACGATAAGGCTTTAGCTGAAACCCTACGACATGGCGTTGGTTTTTATCACGAAGCTTTGAGCAAACAAGATAAACGAATCGTAGAAGAATTATTTGAAAGCGGTGCAATTCAAGTCGTTGTAGCGTCACGTGATACATGCTGGGGCATAAATTTGAGTTGTCATATGGTTATTATTATGGGAACTCAATTCTTTGAGGGTAAGGAGCATCGATATGCCGATTACCCAATAACGGATGTTCTTCAAATGATGGGTAGAGCTTGTCGACCACGACAAGACGAAACTGGTCGTTGTGTATTGATGTGTCAAGCAATCAAGAAAGACTTTTATAAAAAGTTCTTGTATGAAGCATTACCTGTGGAGTCGCATTTGGATCATTTTTTACATGACCATTTCAATGCTGAGATAGTCACGAAAACTGTTGAGAATAAACAAGATGCTGTCGATTATCTTACTTGGACATTTTTATATCGCCGTATGGTAGAAAATCCAAATTATTATGGTATGCAAGGTTCCGATCATAGGCATTTATCAGACCACTTATCCGAATTAGTTGAGACAACTGTCAACGATTTGGCCGCTTCAAAATGTATTACTCTAGAAGATGAATTAGACGTTTCACCGCTTAATTTAGGTATGATCGCTGCCTATTATAATGTTAGTTATGTAACAGTAGAAATGTTCAGTATGAGTTTGAATGAAAAAACCAAGCTTAAAGGACTTTTGGAGATTTTGTCATCGGCGGCTGAATTTGAGTCTATTCCTATCCGTCATCATGAAGATAGCGTCCTTAAGAAGATTTATGATCGACTTCCGGTCCAACTTGGAAATCCGAAATTCAATTCTCCACATATCAAAACCAATATTTTGTTACAAGCTCATTTCTCAAGGACACAATTACCACCAGATTTACAATCTGATCAAGCAACTGTTTTGGGCAAAGTTATTCCTTTGATCCAAGCAGTTGTTGATGTTATAAGTTCCAACGGATGGTTGAAACCTGCATTAGCTGCCATGGAGTTAGCACAAATGTGTGTGCAGGCTCTATGGGATCGTGATTCACCATTGAAACAAATACCTTATTTCACATCAGATATCATTAAACGTTGTGAAGAAAGAGATATTGATACAGTTTTCGGGATTATCGAACTCGAAGACGAAGATCGAAATGAGATACTCCGAATGGATGGGAGACAATTACGGGAAGTTGCTCGTTATGTTAATCGATACCCCAGTATTGATGTCAAGTTTAATGTAAGGGACGAAGATGAGCTTATTGCAGGTTCTCAAGGTGTCATTGAAGTAAAACTGAACCGTGAAGTTGATGATGATGATGAAATAGTAGGACCGGTTATTTCACCATTTTTCCCACATAAGAAAGATGAAGGGTGGTGGATCGTTTTAGGTGACATGGAAAAGAATTCATTACTTGGTATTAAACGTATTACCTTAAATAAAACTCTTGGTGTAAAATTAGACTTTACATGTCCACCAGAAGCTGGTGAACATTTATTAAAATTAATCTATATGTCAGACTCGTATATGGGATGCGATCAAGAATTTGAGATACCGATTGTAGTACAGGAAGGAGCGGAAGATAGTGAAGAAGAGGAGGGAGCAGCAATGGAGACATAGGATTTTTACAATAACATTTTTATAGCTTAAGAAATTTCTATACTACTTTTAAATAAATCATTCTAGTCAAAAAAAAAAATGTATTTAGTTTCGTAAAAAAATAATTTCAAGTGCAATTTCAGGCTACATATAATGAAATTATTTATCGTGAACTTGTAAGATAATTAATAAAATAAATTATATTTTTATAAATATGTATGTTTAATTTTATTTATTTACGTTATACAATATATATTACTCTACAAAAAATTAGTGTCCGTTTTTTACTCATGATTTAATTTAAAATTATTGAAAATGCTGACATTTAATTTTTGTAGAGTAATATGTGTGCGAGTTATTTTTATTGATAATTAAAAACACGTGAAAGACCAATTCGTGATTATTTAGCAGTAGATAACATAGCAGCCAAAGCTATATTAAAAATGAACATAGTTAGTTATAATTATGTTAACAATTTAAAATAATATATGTACAGTATATATTTACCAGCACCAACTCCGGAACCATCACGAGCCAAACCGAGTTTGAAGTTATCAGCATTTGTACCAAAATATTCTCTGAAAGCACTTTTAATACGAGCTTCAAAACTGGGATAAAATTCAAATAAAGAACCATCAATACCGATATCACAACCAGTTTCTATAACATTACAATGAGTTATAATGGCTGATAATGCAGCAGAAGATAATCTAGCAGAACGTAATCCAACAATTTGACAAACTCTTTTTACAATTTGACGATCTGTTAACGTTGTGGAAGGTATATTTAATTCCTCTTCTAAAATTTTTCTTGCATTCTCAAGTGTATCAGTATCATCACTTTCTATTGTTGATAAATATGCCGTCTCAAAAGAGTCATGAGTATTGAGATCTTTTGAAGAAATACCATCAAAAATCAATTCCCTATCAATAAGATTTAGTAAAATATTTCTTGTTATCTCTCCAAGATACATTCCTGAAACCAACTTTTCAAAAATTTGAAGTCGAGGATTATTTGATTCTCGATCAAGTTTATTATCAAACATTGTGATAGGAAGCACTTTTTTCTAAATATAATATACCGAATTTTTAATTAAAATATATACGAAGAAACAAATTTAAAATATAATGTTTACCTCACTATCGAAAGCTCCCATTTCCAAGTTTATTATCATATGTTCGGCATTTGAAGAGAATTGCAATTTTTTGATATTTGAGATTTTTTCGAAATAAGCACTATTTGAACCGGTACCCAAAATAACTCCAATAAGAGTATTAGGGTATTTATAAGCATGAGCCAGAAGAGTTCCAACGGTATCATTAACTAAAGCAGTAACTTTAACAGGAACTTTTTTACGGTTTAAGGCTTCTTGTAACATAAATACAACATCTTTTCCGACAGCATTAACGCAAGTAAAGCCTTTTGTCCAACTAATTAAAGTACCTTTATCGATAGCAGTTTGTTCAACGGGAAACGAAAATGTAAATCCCAAATTTAATTTTCCTCCCTTCCTAGATGATCCTTTATAATCGGTTTCATCAAGTTCAGCTAAAAATTTATCAATACAATTCGCTAAAAAATCAAATAATTGACGTGCTTCCCCAGTTTTATATGTTTCCGATATTGTATATTTTTGTTGTTTTATGGACATATTTCCTTCACTTTCAAATTTTATTAGACATACTCGTAGATTTGTACCACCAAGATCAAGTGCAAGAAATGTACCAACTTCTTTTCCGGTTGGAACTCCAGTAACTATACAAAAGTAACTATACGATGAGGAGAGCGAACAAGTAGAAAGATATTCAAGTCAAAGAATTTTTAAATTTATAAATTACCATAACTGGGAACCATTGCAACCGTTTGTCCACGCATTTCAAGTCCTTTCTTCATTTCATTACGAAAATGGTTAACAATTTCATTAAATTTTGTTTTATTAACTTCAAATCCTTTTGAAATCTCATCGATCGCTGATTTTTGCGATTCTGAACAGTTGGCAATTTCTTTAAAATTTTCCAAAGTTAGTGGAATTGAAGGCATTTTTTTTTTTATTATTTATTTCCTTTCAAAAAAATAAAAAATAAAAATAAAATATCAATAAAAAAATAGATGAGAAAATTTCTCTCTTTTTAAATTATGCAGATGTTACACAGATTTCTCACGGTTAAAAAACAGTAACTTTTTAAATACATATATTGTGAAAATTAATAGATTAAACTGCTTAAAGAAGAAATGAATGAATATTTAAATAATTAAATTCATATAGAATCATTTTTTGTCTTTATGTTCTATTTCTTTTTTAAATAGATTTGCTTCATTATGTGCGTTTAATTCGGCTTGTTTATCTTCAATTCGTTCTTGACGCGCTGTTTCTTCAGCTTTTTTTGCCTCTTCAACCGAGGTATGAATTTCTGCTGGAGCAGATGTATTGTTCTATTAATTCATAGTTTTTTAGTACAAAATAGTACGTTTTTTTAAGGTAAAGAAAGGTAATTAATTTCTACTT